TCCCATTGACATCTCTAACTGTCGATTGTAAAATTCTTCGCAGGCCTGTTCTTCAGGCGTGAGAAGCTTTTTCGTTATAGCAGGTTCGGAATCCAATTCCCATAAACGTTTTAACATATCATTCTCCTCTATTTGAGTGTACATCGTGATTATAGTATTATGAGAATTTAGAGAGCTATCTGCCTTACTGACATAGCCTGACACAATCCAACCTAAATGCGTGTCTTGTGCGACCGGAGAGCCTGTAGGACTCTTGATCAGACCTTCCTTTAAAATACGGCAGTATACTTCCCCCCCTAATAAAATATCAATTTTATTAGAACGACTGAAATTTGGGTCGGCTAGACGTATGCTGTGAATTTCTGGCCAATTGTCAAGGTTGACATTCTTATCTGGCATAACCGATGTCAGTGAACGTAGTACATGCGCAGTTACGTTTATGGTATAAGAGGAATCATGCAACGATTGAATATCAATATTCACTACATGTTTAGAAACGATCTTGCTATGCTCACCTCCTATACCTGCAATAGTAGTCTTTGAGACTACTCTCCTTAAACGAAGTAATTGCGCAGCTGACTCAGTTATAAAGGATGCTTGTGATCCTTGATCCAACAAAGCTCTCAAAACCTGAGAGGACCCATTTTGTGATTCGGCTTTAACCAAAGCCGTGGCTAACAAGACCTGACCCTGCGTTTGTTCATTCACAAAATGAGATGCTATACTTACCTTGACATCATGGACTGGCTCTGAAGTACATCCAAGTTCAGGAAGAATAGGTTCCCCTGACGCAGTAACCCCAATGGCTCCACTATGGTTCTTCGGATGTAGCAGCGTATGGTGTTTACGCTGACAAATACGGCATTTCGAAAAAACACGGCAGTATTTGGAAGTATGATTACTTCCCAAACAATTAAAACAGGCACCCAAAGATTGTGCTACGGCACGACGTCCGTCCACATCTAGTTGGCAAAACTTCTTACAATTTAAGAGTTTGTGACTTTCCGAACAGTGTGGACATAACATATTAGTCGTACCGTGCATGACCTTAGTGTGAGATGTAGGATGATGATCGACTTTTAATTTATTTTTAGGCTCAACGCATTCGAGAGCACGAAAACGTGTTTCCAAAAACTCGCAAAATTGTTTAAAGGAAGGTAGATCGTCGGATGATTTAGTGACATGCAGTTCCCACTGCTTCCTCGATTCTACGTCCAACTTTAAGCTTGCAACGTAAATAATAATTACATCCCAAGAACTTACATCGATCCCAATATTAGTAAGTTCGTGCAAACAGTCACTGGTCACATCTAGTAAATCTTTTAGTGCTTTTGATGATTCATTTCCAATATTACGTTGGCCAAATAATCTATTTAAAATATATGTGGATACAAATCTCTTGTTATTATACCTATGTTCTAACATTTCCCAGCATTTTTTATAGTTTAAATCAGTTATAGGTACATGTTTTATAAGCTGCTCCGCTTCACCTGACAGTTGAGTTTTTAAATAATGGAGACGTTGGACATCATCAAATTTTTTATTGTTGTGTACTAATGACACGAACAAATCACGGAATGACGACCACTCTGTATATTTTCCGCTAAAAGTAGGTAAAACTATTTTTGGCAATCTTACCACACTGCTGTCAGATGAACCATCGCAACCTTCCTTCCTTGAGCTGTGAACTTTTAATTGGGACAAAACATTTTTTAATTCTACCTTGTACATTAAATAACACTCATAAACCGTCTCATAGATATCTTCCTGGAAAAAGTCCTGTAATTCTTCACTTTCGCAATCACCTACGATGACTTCATATTTCGCAGAAAAATTCTTGAATTGGGTCTCTAACATCTCTAAACGTGCATCGACATAATTGTAGTTTATCCGATCTCTCGGGGACTTCTTGTAATTTATCCAGCCCTTTTCAATTTGTAATTTGATATCTTTCAGCTTTCTTAGTTCTTTCTCCATGTTGTTTGTATTCATGAAAATATTCTAAGTCCAGTGAAAGATAGATGAAAATTCTCTAAGTGTCGCTGACAGTTGACAATTGACAAATTTTTCAAGTCCAAACTATAGAGAATTTTTCTAAGTGTTTAATACTTTGTAGATCGCTTCGAAATCGGGCATAGATTCGACGTCTGGTCGTTTTTCTCGAAACTATTCTAAGTCCCTGATCGAATGCACGCGAATTTTTCTAAGTCCCTAGTTTTAATGATTTGAATGTACTCACAGTTCTTTGTCCACAATTATGCACTTCACTTCACTACTACGAAGTTCACCGATGATTCCCGATGTATGTACTCGGCAGCTGCACGTAGTCTTCCACATGTGGTATTGTTAACCGACAACTATCACCATCTCGTATCAATTAGCACAACTATATTTAATTGTATGTGTTCTTCCATAAACACCCTTCGGCTCGACTGGACCATGAACAGTATCGGCCGAAAGTCCTTTGGAGCCTATTACTTGAAATAATACGAAGTACCTCAGAGCAAGACAATTTATTTACGTCAAAGCAGACAACCTAATGTTTTGCCGGTAACGAAACCATAGCTTGAATTTAAATCGGCCAACGCCATCTATCGAGCTATGGGACAACACAATAAATAGTAGTATGGCGTTGGCCGAGTGCATCTTTTAAACAGATTATTTCTACACTGAACAGTATAGGTACTGAGGGTGGCCTTCTCGGTGGTTTTAGTAAGGTAAAAATATCACACTCCCTAGTCTTTCTTCTCAAAAATCTATGCGAATGTAGAAGGTATTGCCACACATCTAAACTGAATTTTTAAAACAATAGTAGTAATAGACTTGGCCTTTAGTACGTGACACTTGGCCTTTATTACGAGAGAATTAGCCCTTATTGTTAAAATCACTAAATAATAATTAACTAATCTACTATCTAGTTTAGATGTGGAAGGTCAGCTTAGGTCAGTTTCTTTATGATTTTGAACAACATAATTTCTACCTACATTGCTTTTATATGCATGTAACAGCTGAAAGAATAGCTATCGAGAATGTATACGGCATACATTTTTGTTGCATTTTACGCAATTTAAATAAATTTATCTATTTTTTTTAATCTTTATTTATTTACAGGGTTTTTCTTAAAATAAAACGACACCCCGATTATTGAGAACAAATAATATCTACATAGTTAAAAATTAAAACTTTATTTGATATTGTAGTTATACCTTACCCGTGTTGACGAGATAATTGATGGAACGTGGGTGTTACACACACATGAAATAGTGCGCCTCTGCAAAATCGACAGCAAAATATGCGGTAAATAGCAGAGTACGAACCGCTGTTAATTAATCCGAGATTTTAATTGCAGTTTTCCATGTGTGAAGCGAGGGGAGATTCACTATACAGTAAATTATGATACACGACTCCAATTTGTGTACCTTCGATACGCGGTATCAATTAGTAACGTTTCAATATTGCAGAGCCATAAAAATTTGAGCCATTTGGCGGTTTATGAAATATACGAATTCTTTTTGAAGTCCATCAGACTGACTAATTGTATATTCACAATGAGCATTGCACATGCCCGATAGCCACGGACAAGGCCTATATATTATAGAGGTATAACAGTAACTGAAGATATATGAAAATAATTAGGTGCAGCAGTACCAACAAATTTTATTTTAATGATTCTGTAGCATACAAATGGCTTATTCATATTTGTATGGAGATCTATAATATCCAAATATTGAGTTCTAAAGTAATAAAAGGATTTTCTTTTATTTTATTGAAATTTTAACAATGGTAGGTACTTCATTGAGCTTGAGTATGTAGATTGCGGTCGAATAAGTAAAATATAAAGACCTATCTACATTTTTTTATGTAAAATAAAAAATATTTTTACGTGACTTGCTTCTGCTAGTGATTTCTTGGATTTCACCCACTGTAATATCTATCACAGTACCAAATTCCATTCAAATGTGCTCCATCGTTTTTGCGTGAAACTGCAACTGCAACAAACATGAAGATTAGTAAGACAGTTTTATTATTACCTATATAGGGAATATTATTCCTCATCTTGGACCATAGCAATATTGAACAAGGTGCCATACGAGAACTAGTCGGATGGAAACACAAGACACCTTGACCCGTATTAATTGAACTTGGGAATTGATGCGATCAACTTACTCTCTCGACATGTATTTACTATTGTTCATAGCTAGCTATAGGTATAGGGATGTTCTCTCATATCCGTTAACATGCTCCTTCCTTCATAGATAAACATTCTCCATATTGTCTATACTAACATAATAACGCTGAAGAGCTTGTTTGTTTGCTTGCTTGCTTGTTTGTTTTATCGCGTTTATCTTTAAAACCAGTAAAGGGATTTGAAAAATTCTTGTTGCAACTGTTAGCTTTATTTTTGAAGATGGTTATTTAAAGATATCATTGTATATATCAGTGTATTTTTTTAAAGGGGGAAAATCATGGAATGACTTCTACCGCCTGGGTGAGGCGGAAGGGAGTGTCATATACTTACTGACTAAAAACCACCCCGTTCCTACTCCTGCACTTCGAGTCGGAGTCCCGGTAAACCGTTAGGTTCCCCGCGGCTCCAAATCGGCATAAGCCCTATTGGGCCCCGTCCGTGGTGGTCTGATGGCTCTATGAAGCGCGCGCAGAACGCAACACGCCGTACGCTCGGGTCTGGTTCTGGTCGGGCGGCGAGCCACCCATGCTCGCCGTCCGCAGGCCCGCGCTTACGGTGGCCGCAGATCGTATAAATCAGTGCATAGCACTCAGCAATAAGTACATGTCAGAGAATCGTTACATTTTGCTTTGGCCGACATGCTGATGATAGATACACGAGCCACACATGTGCGCTGCATCCGATAAATGTGGACCCACAATTATGTTAGTCTTAATGTTAAAATTAACCAATTTCTCTAACCTCGAGCATAAGACGAGAGACATCAAGTTCAACATGAAGATTTTTAATTGTCAATTCAATTTTGTTACAGATCAGTGGAGCTCCGGTACGAGCATGATACAGAATACAAGGGTATCCCAACATATAGATATGCAGCTAATGAGTGGCTTCTAGACAACGATGAAGGTTGCTTCTGTCTGAATGCAACGCGAGGCCTGAATCGGGAAGATGGTTGCCTCCTTAAAGGTGCAATGGAGTTGTATAGCTGTGTCGGTGAGTGTCTGAAATCCCTTTCTTTAAACATTGCCCTACACTTTGATATTCTTCTACATCGTTGCTGCATATATGAACATATTGTATCAGATACACACCACGCCCTTACTACCATACCTTCGCCTTCAACTACAGAGATATCATGCTATATACCAACAGGACGTGTAATGAAGCGCCATCTACTATGATCATGCTAGCACGGCGTTTATTCAGAGTATTTCTCGTTTGGCTTTTGTATGGAATGTCACCAACTAAAACTGCCAATGATATCATCCTCGACCGACCATTGGTCCCTACCAGCTTTTAAATTAGATTTATCGGTGATTTAATAAATACATGGGTAAAACCTCAGTAATTCCATTCTTATTCATTCTCTCTCAGCATGCAATAATCGCTACAACACACTAGCGCCTATCGCAGACATTCTAAATCTTTAAATTCTCTCATTTAAAATTAATCCTTACATTCTCAAGTTAATATCGATCTTCTATATTTGGATTTCGCGATACGAAACATTAGGCAGGAAGAACATTTAAGACTTCGTAACAAAGAATAGATCTTGGAAGCTGGAATCAAGTTAAAATATCAGTGGTTGGAAAAAGTCTCTTAAACTGGTACATGTAACATACATAATAAATATGCAGTAAACGACTTTTTTCGCTTAAAATTGTACACGTAATATACATAATACATGTAGATGTATTTACAAAGAACACCGTTAATTTATACCTATTCTTACGACGAAGTCTCAACAATTTTGTACTAAAATAGCTTACATGTAGTTATTTATAAACAAATACCATGTGGACCTTTTACATCAGATCTGCTTCTCTAAAACTCTTCTCTGTTTTAACATTGTGGTTGCGATAATTGCCTGCAATACTAGTTATAGGAGATCAATGTCTACCTTAAACTATCGCACTACACGCACTCACAATGTGATACAATACTCGACACATTAAAGGTATGATTCTTTAACATCTTTAATAAATGTACGCCCAAAAAATTGAAACACATCCAGCCAATGCCACGTACCTTCGACATAGATCGAACTTTTCAACTATAATTTGGTTAAAAAACCAAAACGAACCTGGTGTACGGCGCGTCACATTTTGCGCGCGCATCTAAGACCTATCAGACCGCCACAGATGAGGTCCAGTAAGGCTGATGCCTATACGGATCCGCAAAGGATTTAACGGGTTGCCGGGGCTAGGGCTTAAAGAGCAAGAATAAGATTTTTATTCCACAAGAGTCTGACACTCCCTCTCATTTCACTTAAGGCGGGAGAAGTCGTTGGATGAGTTGCCTCCCTTAAACAAAGTCAATGGACGTACTAAAACAATAAAGAATTATAATAGATTTTCAAAATGAAGCATAAAACATTTCATACTACCTAATTGAATAGTATTAATATTAAAATTCGTATTTGCATTAACGTTCAAGATGCTGTAATGTAGTGTACTATAAAAATAATTCTCCATCTGCAGCACGGGCGAAGCAATTTTATTGTTATGAAAACTCAACTTTTTCTCTCAGAAAATATTAATCCTATGATCGAAGGAAATTGATTTGAGAAAATCACGAGATACGCCCGACCGAAGGCGAACAATATTAGCTAGAGGTACTTCGCTCGATTTGCATTGCATTTTACAATTTTCATTCTCTTTTAAAATGGTATTTGTTGTTATCGCCGTATTTCCTGTGATTGATTTCAATGCTGCGTTTAATTTATACAGGATAGGGTTTATATTTTACTAGCGACCCGCCCCGGCTTCGCACGGGTGAAATATACATGTATTATATGTATATATAAACCAACCTTAAGAATCACTCTATCTTTTAAAAAAATCGCATGAAAATCCGTTGCGTAATTTTAAAGATCTAAGCATCCATAGGGACAAATAGACGTCGGATAGGGATTTTGTTTATATTATGTAGTGATTTATTACGGTAGGTCCAACACGCCTGCCTCGTTCGAGTGGTGATAAGTGCGACTGCCGGGCAAGGGAACTCGGGTCTGATTCCCGGTCCGTCGGTCAAAGTATTAATAAAAATTCTGAGTAATAGCACTGAGTCTGGAATTGTGCTCAGTATATGACAATAGGCTCACCCCCTGTTACTTAGGACTCATAACATAAATAGTGAAAACATTGTAGATAGTGGCATTAAGTGCCGTAATGTGTTCCTGTGCCTACCCTTTCAGGGATAAAAGACGTGATTTTATATTATGTATTAGAGTACAATCACTATGTATTATAGAAATTTGGCATCGAGGCAGTCAGCCTCGTTGGCCGAGTGGTCGCAAGTGCGACTGCCGGGCAAGGGGTCTCGGGTTCGATTCCCGGGTCGGGCAATTAGTGGACTTTTAAAAATAGTGAAAAGTGGATGTGACATTGTACATTGGCATAATGTGCACCTCTGCCTACCCCTTCGGGGATAAAAGGCGTGATGTTATGTTATGTTGGTGACTATTAAACTCTGGCTCTCAATAGGGTGAGAACTTGATGAACTAGACCCGTTACAACTATGCAACAACCTCGTTATTCTCAGATGACATTCAAAACCCACATTAGTTAGATGCATTATAATGCATAGATATTACTCCATTAATTAGTCATTGAAATAACAACAACAACTGTAATAAGTACTGATTTTCGATATCAAGTACACAACTGCAAAATAGTTTTTGTCTTATAGACCTTGCTCTTAATCAAATTAAAAGTAACGTTTAATTAAACACTAGCTTTTACCCGTATTCTTGTTTCATCCCATAGGAAGATTTAAATCTAGATAAAAAGTCCTATCACCTAAGTCATCCCATACCCTGCTTGTATTCCAAAATTTCATTAAAATTCGTTTAGTAGTATCAGCGTCATTGACGGACAAACACCCAAACATGCAAACAAAGAAACTTTCACTTTTATAATATTAGTGTGATTGATAAAACCACCGAATATACCTTAAAATAGAAAATATTCGATAGTTTTTCACTTGTTTTTATAATAACTATCGTGAGACATACTAAATTAAGTAAAATCGTAGGTTACTCTCGTGAATATACTGAGGAGCCGCGACCGCCCATGTTGCTTATGAGGAAGAACCCCTCTGTGGTTCGAAACTAGTAGAGCTTTTCTCAGTATATTCACGTGAGTAACCCGCGATTTTACTTACTAATTTTTCACTTTGTCAACTACTTTAGTTGATTTCATACACTCTCTGTCCCCTATTTTCGCATGCAGCGCCATCTACCTACATATAAATACATATCAATGCATGTACACAAATTAAAGTATTGATGGAAACATAAACAATGAACACAAATAAGCCTTTCATTTTAATAATAATTAAATATTCATTATTGAAATTAGTTCTCATTGTTGAAGAGCGCTTTCAACGAAAATATTTATAATTGCAGCTACTTGTATTCCTGTTAGGACGTTATAGATGAACTTATTATAAATTTCAATGAAATACATTTAACGCTATGATAAATACCGATTTTAATGAGAAATAAATCCTGGATTAGTTCGTAATAAACAGAAAATTTTAATTAACTAAGGACCCGTTCAGTTTAGAGTACCTACAATATTAGCTGTGAAAAGCCTTTCGCCTTATCGTTATACATCCTATCAAGAATACCCCATCGGTCAGTCACCCTGAAACAATACAAGAGAACAATCATTTTGAAAACATCAAATTTAGCAATGCAAATATGCAAATGCAGTATAAACGCATTAAAGGACCAATTACGCCACAAATATTGATGAAAGCCTTTTCATTGATGAACCCTGTTTGTTATTTTGTATTCGAAACATCACAACGAATATGCAAGCGAAATTGCGGCTATTGTTTGAAAATGCGGTACAATCCACCTCACTGACCGAAGGTACAGTAAGGACAGGTCGTTGTTTGAACATCCACCTCATTGGTCGTAGGTACAGACATTACAAATTGTCATTATACTTATTGTTTTTTATATTTAACTAGCGACCCGCCCCGGCTTCGCACTGGTGCAACATGCACGTATTACACATATAAACCTTTCTTAAGAATCACTGTATCTATTAAAAAAACACATCAAAATCCGTTGCGTAGTTTTAAGGATCTAAGCATACATAGGGACAGACAGCGGATAGACTTTGTTTTATATGTACTACTATGTAGTAATGGGCTGGTGTTTCACCACAATCTCGCCTGGTGATAAGCAATGATACGGTCTACGATGGAGCACGTCGTTCCATAAGCAACCTATTCACTCGGGCCTTGAAAACACCCTTCAGAAAATACAGACTCTGGCAAAGAATTCCACTCCTTAGCAGAAAATATAATAAAGATTTCTGTGTTCTTCATTTTATCAAGGTAAACAGATATGTCATCTAGACTCTAAGGTAAATGTTAAACATTGTGTGATCACTGTCGTTAATACATAATCGTTTTCACACTCAATAAATGTTTACTCAACTTTTTATACGCGGTCTCAAGAATAACACCTATGATTAAGGTGTACCTACTTGTGTTACTTTAATTCATACAGTAGTTATCAGACATAAAATATAGAGTCCTTTGATTTGATTGATAGGCACGATTATTTGATATGTAGATGTGATATATTAGAATTTACGAACTTAAGTTCAAACTTATTATTAGGCAAGAGAGGCCAACGGCGCACCTCTTGACCTGCCACGGAAATCAACCGAATGTTTACACACAGTGCGCGCACGCATGCACGCCGCCGTCCGCCGCACAACCTTGAACAAATTTTAACAGCGATGCTCACTAATTCTTACGCTCCTATCGATTCATAATGAAGTCATTATACAAACGAAAATAAAACTAGAACTTAAAATGTATTTTAGTATTAATACTCTTGTACAATGAAACAAGCCATTAGCCATTTTAAATATTGATCTTTATACTAGAGACGAGCGACGTCCGAAGCCGAATTTCTAACGGATGCGAAAATTCAAGCGCACTCGCAGAGCGCAGTTTGTCGAGCACCCATAGCGAGTATGTTTGCGGTGCGCCAGTGGAGTGGCGTCAAAGCCTTCCCAACCGCACTATCTGCTCTCCCTGAACCTGTTAATTTAGGTCAACACAAAAAGCTATCGCATGTGTTTGTTTTCGATAATTTTATGTGAAATTGTTAGCAACTTATATTTCACGAGACGCTAACAGCTAAAATTCTATATTGTCTTTTGTGTCACCACCCCAATTAGGTTGCAAAAATCACGTACCAACCAAAAATACGAACAACAATAAACTGATGAAAACTATTTTAAAACGTATATGCCACAACCGTCGCAACCCTAACAAGCAACTTTTCGTACTCATGTTGTCATTATAAAACCGGTCACACCGCCCAAGCTTCCATCGCGCTTTGTATTTATTTGTTTTTAAACAAAAGAAAATGTTTAATTTTGCGCACGTATTTAGTGATCGCAGAATGTACGTGAACAAAATGAATATGTTTAAACTATTAATATTATTATGTTCATTAAAGTTCCGAGTCATACGCACGACGTCTGGTCTGATGCGACGGTGACACGCCCGCCAAGGTAAACCACCGGCCTCAATGATGTACGTTCATTCAGCTCCCGTATACTCGACATTTAAGACACCATAGTAACCTGGAAGCAATGACCTCCTTTCCTGCTCTAAAATGCATGGCAGCTGACCTGAAATAATTAAGATTATGGCAAAAATACGGGCGCGACACACATAGAGAACGGCGCGTGGCGGGAGGTTGGTCTCGGTACTTACGTAAAAAAGAGTGCGCGAGCGCAGGACGGTCAAACGCACGTTGCGATGAATCGTGTCGCGTGGTTGACGTGTGCGCTTCTCTCAGTCGTCGGCGCGCGTATCTACGAGCGCTGTGAGTTAGCTCGCGAATTAGAATCACTTGGAGTGCACCCTGATGACATCTCAACCTGGGTGTGCATCGCCTACCACGAATCACGCTTCGACACCGCTGCCAACAACCCTCATAGCGGCGACCATGGCATCTTTCAAATCAGTCAACTCTATTGGTGCGGACCCGGCAAGGCGTGCGGGCTGCCATGCTCTGCATTACGTGACGAAGACATCTCCGATGATCTCGAGTGCGCGTTGATAGTGCACGAGGAGCACACTCGCCTGCAGGGTAACGGATTCCTGGCATGGGTAGTGTATCCACAACATTGCAAACATAACACTAAGAAATATCTCGTGGACTGTGATACTAATGTGAAGAGTTCAGTGCCTATTACAAGATCTCGAGGTTATAATAATTACGTGGACAGTTACGACGAGCGAAATGTTACGACATTCCGACAAAATACAAATAACGCTTTGCCCTCGTTTCTATCGATTGCAGCTATCGTTAGAGAAAATTATGGAAGAATATCCGATCCAAGCAGAGGACGTTTAGATTGGACTGATTATAAAATTGACAATATTGATGAATTGAAACTGCCGGTATTAAACCAACCATCGCAACATATCAACGTTCCACCCACGACGTATGCACCACGTCCCACCACCACCACGACAACAACTACTACGACGTATATACCGCCCGTGAAGCCGTGGAGGACGATCGAAACTAATCAGTTCAGGAAGAAACATCGTAATGGTGATATCCAAAAGACTACAAAATATTACGATATCGAATACGATAGATATTATACACAGAGCACGGCGTCGGTTGCAGCTACCGCTCGTCCAATATTCTTTGCCTCAAGCACGGCAGTACGTAATGTGACTACTACTACTACTACTACTACAACTACGCTAAGACCTACGACAAAGAGCACCACTGTCACTACAACCACTTGGAGACCACCGACTACTACCACTACCTACCGACCACCGACTACTACCAATACATACCGACCACCAACTACCACTACTTACCGACCGCCTACTACCACTACTTACCGACCGCCGACTACCACGACCACATACCGGCCTCCTACCACCACGTACCGTGCACCCACTTCTACAACCACCAGAGCACCATCCACTACGACAACATACCGGCCTATAACTTCATCAACATATTCTTACAAATTTCCATCTTCTACAACAACAATCAGGACACTGAGTCCTTTCTCATATAAATTCCCTGCTTTTACGTCAACGATTAGGCCATCTTCTTCATCGGCGAAAACGACATGGAATTGGCGTTTTACTACGACCACACCGAAACCAAGCACTACTTCGATAGCTCCTCGAGTAGTTACCACTACTTACAAACCTGTGACGACTACCACTCAGAGACCGGCCACACGTACAACAGCTGCATCAACAACAGCAAGAACGCCGTGGACTTGGCCAGCATTTACACAGAGATCCACCACAAGTAAAGAAACGACAACAAAACCCAAAACAGACTTCTCATGGTACACGTTCACATCACGAACATCAACAACGCCAGCGACGACGAAACTGCAGACTGTTTCAACTAAAACCACACCGTTTTCATTCTGGACAAAAGCACCGAGCACACTAGCAAACACAACCCAGGACAGAACTACTAAAACATCAACTTACTCAACAGTGAAACTTCAAACTACAACAACACAGAAACCGACAACACAGTCAATATTCGACCTGTACTTGAATCCTACGAAACGACCGCAGTTACCCAGTTATAGTTTCAGTTGGGGTCAACCCAAGCTGCAAATCTTTGGCAGTGGCACCACAACGGCCGCGACAGTGTCACGAGGACAATACCAACACAATAAAAACACGTGAAACTCTGAATGTGTAGGTTTTTAATCAATCAGTGGTCTCAGATATCACTAATACTCGTTATAGATATGTTCGTCACAATCTTATAATTAATTTTCCTTGTGATTATTACACATCAACACGTGTCACATTGTTTATAACTTATAAGTTAGAACTTGTCATTAAGATTTTTATCCTAACATTGTATCATCTGCGCAGGAAAAATAACTGCTTTGTATTTAAATGTCAGTTGCGCAAACGCATAATGTAAGTCTCTTGCGACGAACACACTCCAGCACGACGGGGATTGCTCTTACTATGTAAATATAAATATAATTATGCAAAATATGCGAATGTTTATTTGTAATATTAGACCAAAAAGCATTTATTTACTTTTTTATGTGTACATTAAAAGATTTTTATACATGCGTTGTGGTATTGATTTTACTGCGCATCCTAATGATTAATAATATTTAAATGAAAGGCTAAGCATATAATTATTTCTAAAAATAATGGATAACATGGTCAATAGCTTGTTATTTTTGTAATTAACATTTAGAATCAAGTTCTGATGCGGAAACAACGGAAGGTGCGAATGTACTGAAGGACAGCACTGTGTTACACGCGACTGTATCGTTTACACATCAAATACATAGAAATATAACAACTATAGTCTGTCCATTTTATGATGATTAATGTGCTAAATGTTTGTCTTAAAAGCGAACCACAAAAATAAACCAAAGATACTTATAACACTCATTATTATATCAAGTTTCTGTTATCCACAGTACAATGTAACACCCCCTTTTCAGTATTTATGTTATGAGTCCCATGTAATAGGGGGTGAGCTTATTGCCGTATACCGGGTACAATAAATTCCAGACTCCGTGCTACTACTGAGATTTTTTTTAAAACCCAGCAGCACTTTGCCCGGCATTCGCACTTGCGACCACTCGGCCAAGGAGGCATAATGTGTACCTCTGCCTACACCTTTGGGGATAAAAGGCGTGATGTTATGTTTCTGTTATCCTAACTAGGTAATTTGTATCCAATGGAACATCTCAAAATAATTATTTGTTGAACCAACAGCAACATAATCAGATATAGTGCAATAAACCCTTGATATAACAAGCATGGCATACAATCTATGCCCTATTCACAAAACTAATCTTGAGAACACAACAGGGTGCTTACTCTTGAATCCAATTCCAATCGATCGACATTGACATTGTGAAATTTCGTACTCTTGACTTGTAACACTAGCGCCTTTTGCATCCGTATTGCGTAGATATTTCATGAACTTAATGGTATTGAGTTTGGTTTTATATTCCATACTCTAAATGCTACTTTAACTGCTACGATTGGGGTTGTATAGTTTTGACATTGGATAATTATTGAGGTGTTATTGGATTGAAATTGCATTGACATTGAGATTGGTTTCAAGAGTAAGCACCCTGATGTTATATTACAAAGTGCATCAATTTTTTCGTAAGCCTATGGTGTGTCCAAAGGATCCGGAGAACATTGATGCACTTTACTGTAAGATCGTTATCTTTCAGGTTAGGGAGATGTTAATAATGCTAGCAACTAGACCTAGACATATTTTCATTTCATAACATCACGCCTTTTTATCCCTTAAGGGGTAGGCAGAGGTGCACATTACGGCACTTAATGCCACTGTACAATGTAACACCCACTTTTCACTATTTATGTTATGAGTCCCATGATTTACGAGGTGAGGCTATTGCCATATACCGGGCACATTTCCAGACTCCGTGCTACTACTGGGATTTTTAAAAACCCAGTAATACTTACTTAGCCCGACTCTTGAATCGAACCCGAGACCCCTTGCCCGGCAATCGCACTTGCGAAAACTCGGCCAACGAGGCAGTCTTACGTCTTACATATTTTCATTTCTATCTTCATTTTTTATTGAAAATTAGATTCGACATAGTATGACATAATGTATCAGATTTTGTGCTCATTAGGTGTCAAAGGCGACTCCCTAAATTAAGCAATTATGGAGCAAACAAAGTCAATACGTCAATATGGAGTCAGTAAACTGTCCACAGATTAATACTACTAGATCAAGCCGACAAAATCCCCATCACACAATATTTTGTTGAATAAATTAACTAATATCAATATTCATAATGTGACATCCATGAAAAGTGAATTGATCGACTATCCGTCGTCCAGCCGGTTCTTCTAGGGTTGTCACAAACAACATTATTCAAATTGATTTATTATCATAATGCCGGTATTGCTTTCAAAGTTCATTTTGTTCAAATGTATGACACAATCAATAAATAAAAAGCGAAAAGGAATAACAAGTGAGTAGTATTATATGCGATTTAAAAATAATGATGCGTCAGCGAAAGCACGTGCGGATAGTAAAATAACGTGTGTTTTGTTCACAAATTGTTGGGACGCATCGAGACGAGGTAATGGCCTCGGCTTTGTTTGTTTAAATTTCAATCCTGTTGGGCATGGTTCGAGAGATTTAATCACAAACAAAATTGTATTCGTTCGCATAGGACTCTCTTGTCCACTTCTCCGCTGTCTGGTGGTCAGTGGACAATTTTTGGTTGTCATACAGTAGTGAGGGGGATGCCAACCGAGTGAGTGTTGATTGATGAGAGATTTGAGTGACGTGTCACTACCCACCATCACTGTTCCATGTCTCGGCTCCTGACATTGAAGGTGCCATATTACACTGGTTGAACATTACTCCGTTGCCTGCGTGGTTCTTTGTACGGTTGAAATCATTTATGTAAATATGTCCGGAGAAAACCAATACCCATTCTTTTACTTGCTCGTTTTCCTCATCAATTACGTGTTTACTTAAATAAAGCTTACTTAGGTATTTTTATAGACCTTTAAAATGATAAAAAACCTTTTTGACTTTAACTTTCATTGCACCTCTGCAAATGTTTCGCCTTCGATCTATAATATTATATTATGAAATTGTAACGTTATTAAACCAAACGTCAACATGATTGGCTGACCACATTCAGTAATAGTCCGGCTATTGACCAGACGTAGTGTATCTGACAGAAACTAATTAATTATTTGTGGTTAGCATTAAATTTGATGAGCTAGTTGATCGTACCCCCACCCCTTAGCATTGTGGTAATGCTGTCTGCAAATCTGCAATAGTAGGTATATACCTCTATATGAATATAATTATATTCATACTAGCTACTGCCACGCACTTGATAGTTCTTTTACTAGATTTGAAATTGCAATATTTCGTCACAAATCATTTGTTCAGATACAGCAACAGATACATGTGGTACATAATTACATTAACAGCCTATAAATGCCCACTGCTGAGCAAAGCCTCTTCTCACACGGAGAAGGTTTGAGCATTAATCACCACGCTTGCTCAATACGTGTTGGTGATTTCAAACTTATAATTAGAAATTATAAGTCCAGGTTTCCTTACGATGTTTTCCTTCACCGTTTGTCAGTGGTATCTAAATAATCTTAGAAATTACATATGTATGACTCGGAAAAAGTCACATTGGTACTTGTCGTTGGTAGGTTTCGAACCAGCGCCCTCATGTATGAGAAGTGCGTCATAAACCTCGGAGCCACCACGACATACTTTAGTGTACTTTCAAATTCAAATTCAAATTCTTTATTGCGTTCCACAATGTTTTACTTAGGTGGTAACATAGAATAATACAGATCATTGTAGACCCTGTCGGGCACAGCAAGGAAATATATAATTTCAATACAAAAAAACTTGTTAAAAGTTACTGATTATGTCTACGTCACTAAGTCAGTTCCTAAAAATAAAGATGTACGTATAGATTGTGCTAGAACTCATCTTTTAAATAGGTAGGTATATCAGTAGGTAAAAGTAATAAAATATTTTAATGTGTGTAAGAAAAACATTTAATAATATATGTATTTTGCGGTCGCAGGTGCGAATAACCGCAAGATAATTTTAGGTCAATTTCCTGATATTTTATATATTTAAAATTAAGTTTCTATATTTTAATATACGACAACTGTATCTACAAATTTTTATTAACGAATTATAATATTCAATTTCAGAACATAATTAGAGGACCATATTAACATAGTATAACATCACGCCTTTTATCTCCGAAGGGGTAGGCAGAGGTGCACATTACGGCACTTAATGCCACTGTACAATGTAACACCCACTTTTCACTATTTATGTTATGAGTCCCATGATGTAGGGGGAGAACCTATTGCCATATATCGGGCACGATTTCAGATTCCCTACTACTACTGATAATCTTTTTTAAAAACCCTGTAATACTTTGCTCGACCAGGGAATCGAACCCCATGCCGCAATTGCAACCACCAAACTTCAAAGGCAGTCGACGACCATATTATAAATAAATATTTTAGTTTGAAACACACCAACGGCAAGGATAAAGAGCTAGCTAGACACTATATAGACCATTACAAATGTCCGAACTGTCACTTCAAAGTAATATGGCAATGCCGCACAACCCTCGGATAAAATGACTTATTCCGGTTTGCACGTTTGTTGCACGGCTCGACTACAGCTTAAAACACTACTCGAAATTCAATTATAAAAACAAAAGCCCCCATCTACTATCGACTACTCCACACTAGTTATTACGATCCAATCGACCTGTCTACTTCATCAGTCCAGTTCATATTCATGAAAGGCTGCCCGAAAAATGTCGATTCAAAAATTTTAATCAACGTATCCTGTCAATCTCAGGTTGAAAGGACTTTGTGCCTATCCAGTAAAACTCATTTCCTGACACTCCCATGTGTACAGGGTGTAACATAAAGGGTTTATTCTAAAATTCTAACTGTACTAGCTTTCTTCCACTGATTCTGCTTATTTATTTATTTTAGACTTAGTACAAAACCACATGTACCAGCTGTATATGTTTTTTGAATTAATGCCTTAGGCATTGTCTAATAGTTGATCTTTAGGTGGTGCAGGGATGAGAGCAGCAGGTGACTAAGTGAATATTAATATCTATATAATATGTATATAGATACTT